CCGAGGAAATTAACGAAGAAGCAGGCCATTAGATCATATCAACCCTGCTGGGACTGCTGGGACTGCTGGGTCTGCTGGGACTGCTAGGACTGCTGGGACTGCTGGGACTGCTAGGACTGCTGGGACTGCTGGGTCTGCTGGGTCTGCTGGGACTGCTGGGTCTGCTGGGTCTGCTGGGACTGCTAGGACTGCTGGCCCGACAGATGGTAGGGCTGGAGCAGCCTAACAAACAACACTGTCAAGCCTCAGAAAATGCCAGGAAGAAAGCAGAGGATGTGTTACTAAACTCTAGATTGAAAACGGTGAAGATGTGCTTGTGGGGGGTTGAGCTCTGGCTCTTTGGTCCCGCCTCTCAACGGTAAATTGTCACTCATGTAGGCATGTGAGGGAACGACCGAGCAGATGTCCTGGCTCCAGAGGAGGCTGAAAATCAGATTGAATACTTTATCCCCCTCCCAAGACCCTTTTACAAATTAAGAAGCGTGATCAAGCAGCATCACCATGACAAGGAAGCCGAGGATAGAACTTGGGATAGAGGAGCGAATGAGTGAATCTGTATAGCAACTCGCAGTCGCAGACCTCATGGATGAAAATGTGTCGAATGAGTGCAAGAAATCCGCAAGTACAAGAATTTGTCTTAAATACAAGTACTCATGGAGATTCGGGACGGAATCAACACTTGTGCAAGGAAGTTGCAGAGTTTGCAACACAAGTGCTCATCTGTGAGACATGCAGTAAGATCACCTATACAATAAACTCCCATATTATTATTGTTCGAAAAGCACTTTTTTTGCAAATGTATATTCAGGCTTTAGAAGCTTCCTCTCCCACCTCTTACTTTGCACCCACATGGTGACCCACTCCTTTGTGAGTGGAGGCAGTTAAGTAAGTCCCAGCTGCGTGTAGGTACAGATGACAGGACTAACAACACCGCGGGCTTCCTGTTTAGTAGTGCCCAACATGTTGCTGTGGTGGAGTGTCCACTCACAGGATGAGTGGCGCTGCCCAATACTGTCACTAAAGCAACGTGTCCACTCACAGGATGAGTGACGCTGCCCAATACTGTCACTAACGCAGCGTGTCCACTCACAGGATGAGTGACGCTGACCAATACTGTCACTAAAGCAACGTGTCCACTCACAGGATGAGTGACGCTGCCCAATACTGTCACTAACGCAGCGTGTCCACTCACAGGATGAGTGACGCTGCCCAATACTGTCACTAAAGCAACGTGTCCACTCACAGGATGAGGGACGCTGCCCAATACTGTCACTAAAGCAACGTGTCCACTCACAGGATGAGTGACGCTTCCCAATACTGTCACTAAAGCAACGTGTCCACTCACAGGATGAGGGACGCTGCCCAATACTGTCACTAAAGCAACGTGTCCACTCACAGGATGAGTGACGCTGCCCAATACTGTCATTAAGGCAGCGTGTCCACTCACAGAATGAGTGACGCTGCCCAATACTGTCATTAAGGCAGCGTGTCCACTCACAGGATGAGTGACGCTGCCCAATACTGTCATTAAGGCAGCGTGTCCACTCACAGGATGAGTGACGCTGCCCAATACTGTCACTAACGCAGCGTGTCCACTCACAGAATGAGTGACGCTGCCCAATACTGTCACTAAGGCAGCGTGTCCACTCACAGGATGAGTGACGCTGCCCAATACTGTCACTCACAGGAGTAACTAAAGTATTCCTCCGGCCAATTATAATTACAAACCAAAAGTAAACAACAATTATGTGATACACAGGGAAGTGATAAACAATGCGTGTGGAGGGAAGTGAAGACCAACAAATGTCTTGACAGGCTCAGGTGTTGACAGGCTCAGGTGTTGACAGGCTCAGGTGTTGACAGGGACACACCTCCCCTCCCCCTTCCCTCTAAGCAGCAGAAAGACTTGCTAGGGGGGACTTAGCTGGAGCCCTTCAGAGTCGTTAGACCTGACCCCAATGTGTGATGGATAGTTTCAGCGTCCCTAACCCGCCTGGCCTTCCAGGATACCGTGCAGGCGTCACCTGTTCATGGAATCTGGACTCTGGAACAGGGGGGGGGGGGTTAGGGGAGGGGTGGGGGGGTGGTTGAGAGGTCGCCTCTTCAAACGGGAATGGAACGTGTTCTTGACTCACTAATTTACCTGATGGCCAATTTTACTGATTCCAAGGACTGCCATGGTGGTTAACTCATTCAATGACTGCGGGGAGTGTATACTAGGGTGTGGCTAGGTAGTGTACCAGGGGGTGTGGGTGCCTCATAGATGGATTGTCAGCTATGTGTACACCTTGAAGGCTTATCTCCCTCACACTCTCCCTCACACACCCTTTCCTTCCTCTCTCCCGCACGCAAAAATTACACGCGCGTGCAACCCCCAGTAAGCACAATTAGGTGAGAAAGGAACAAGGAATCAGTAAACTGAATGTTGGGAGGCGGTGCCAAGGAGCTGAAGCTCAACCAACGGAATCACAGAAAATTCAGTACACACAACAGGAAACTTCGATATTTGACAACACAATTGTAGAGTTTACAGTAGTGTGTGAGTTTACAGGAGGGAGAGAGAGAGAGAGAGAGAGAGAGAGAGAGAGAGAGAGAGAGAGAGAGAGAGAGAGAGAGAGAGAGAGAGAGAGAGAGAGAGAGAGAGAGAGAGAGAGAGAGAGAGACAGAGAGACAGAGAGACAGAGAGACAGAGAGACAGAGAGACAGAGAGACAGAGACAGAGACACAGACAGACAGTCACAGAAATTACACATTTTTCCCATGGGGTTTCCAATATACGAGAATAATTACAGGAATTAACGTTCAAACTCAATTTAATGGGGGACCAATAATCCGCAGATTTATGTTATATATAACTCCGACAGCCATGATTACTGCTATCTTTGCTATCTTACTGCTATCTGCTATTACTGCTATTACTGCTACCCCCCCCTTATCACTATTTGTTGCAGCTGGTCATTATTCTCGCTATTTGCAACCCATTTGTTGCCCTGCAATATTGTTTACAGTATACCCATTAATGCTATCGCAACCATCCCTGTTTCCTGCTATCTTCAGCGCCTTTCGCTAGCCCCACTGTGGTATGTTATCGTTTTTCAGGCCCCTGACATGTGCTTTTCCTCCACCACAATGGGTGTTAATGGCACGTGAATGGGTGTTTGATGGCACGTGAACGGGTGTTTGATGGAACGTGAACGGGTGTTTGATGGCACGTGAATGGGTGTTTGATGGTACGTGAATGGGTGTTTGATGGCACGTGAACGGGTGTTTGATGGCACGTGAATGGGTGTTTGATGGCACGTGAACGGGTGTTTGATGGCACGTGCATGGGTGTTAATGACACGTGAATGGGTGTTTAATGGCACGTGAATGGGTGTCTGATGGCACGTGAACGGGTGTTTGATGGTACGTGAATGGGTGTTTGATGGTACGTGAACGGGTGTTTGATGGTACGTGAACGGGTGTTTGATGGCACGTGAATGGGTGTTAATGTCACGTGAATGGGTGTTTGATGGTACGTGAATGGGTGTTTGATGGCACGTGAACGGGTGTTTGATGGCACGTGAACGGGTGTTTGATGGCACGTGAACGGGTGTTTGATGGTACGTGAATGGGTGTTAATGGCACGTGAACGGGTGTTTGATGGCACGTGAATGGGTGTTTGATGGCACGTGAATGGGTGTTTGATGGCACGTGAATGGGTGTTAATGGCACGTGAATGGGTGTTTGATGGCACGTGAATGGGTGTTTGATGGTACGTGAATGGGTGTTTGATGGCACGTGAATGGGTGTTTGATGGCACGTGAATGGGTGTTTGATGGTACGTGAATGGGTGTTTGATGGTACGTGAATGGGTGTTTGATGGTACGTGAATGGGTGTTTGATGGCACGTGAATGGGTGTTTGATGGCACGTGAACGGGTGTTGAGGGTGACTCCTCTTCCGTAGCAGAGTGGTCTGCGTCCTGGACCAACAACCGAGGAGACCAGGCTTCACTCTCCGGGCGGAACAGATGCGGTTGGGCACGTTTGCTTTCACCTGATGCTTCCGTTCACTTTATCAGTTAAATTAGGGATCCGGGAGTTCAGCAGCTATTGTGGGTTGCATCCTGGGAGGAGGGGGGGGGTCAATAGCAGGCCTAGGATGGGTGGGAGGGGGGGGGGAAGGGACCTGGATAGGCCTACATATCCAGGCTTCCTGTCACCGACAACAGGAATGACATCCTGCTTATCGTCTCTGAACGACTGATGTTGAACAATGCTGAACAACTCGTATTGAACGACTATACGGTCATGCCGTACTTTCTAATCACTATATATCGCTATATATCGCTAATATTACTATATATATCTATATATCGCTATATATCGCTATATATCGCCATATATCACTATATATCACTGACCAAAGTCGGACACCGGCAGGGATACCAACTCTCCGTGGTGGGTTGTGGGGAGAGTATGATGAAAGAACTGTGTACCTCAGGTAAACCTGTGGTATATCTAAGAGTTTACCTGGAGGGAGTTCTGGGAATTCTACTCCCCCCCCCCCCCCCCCCCGACGCCAAGCTACCTCCAGAAGGCTGATGATAAGAGCGACCCGCAGGCCCACATATCCACTACCGCCTGGTTGGTCCGGAACTCTTGCATTTTTGCGCTACCGCTCACAGGATGAGTATGGGGTGCACAATAACAGTCAAACGTCCCTATATTGGCAGAACACAGATAGGCCCGGTATTGCCCGGGTCTATCTGTGTATGTCTCCCCCTTCTCTATCTGTGTGTGTGCATGTCTCTTTATCTTTCTCTCTCTCATTTATATATATAAAATATAATTTTCTACCATTGTCGTGAAGGTGGTTCACTGGTGGGAGGGGTCAAACGATGTGAAATATTAAAAATCGAATAGGTATCCATTTACTTTGAAAAAGGTGCAGGGCATTTGAAAACCTGTAATGTGTGGGCACCACCATGGACCAGTAGCACCATGGACCAACAGCACCATGGACCAGCAGCACCATGGACCAACAGCACCATGGACCAACAGCACCATGGACCAGCAGCACCATGGACCAACAGCACCATGGACCAACAGCACCATGGACCAGCAGCACCATGGACCAGTAGCACCATGGACCAGTAGCACCATGGACCAGCAGCACCATGGACCAGCAGCACCATGGACCAACAGCACCACGGACCAGCAGCACCATGGACCAGTAGCACCATGGACCAACAGCACCATGGACCAACAGCACCATGGACCAACAGCACCATGGACCAGTAGCACCATGGACGAGCAACACCATGGACCAACAGCACCATGGACCAGCAGCACCATGAACCAGCAGCACCATGGACCAGCAGCACCATGGACCAACAGCACCATGGACCAACAGCACCATGGACCAACAACACCATGGACCAACAGCACCATGGACCAACAGCACCATGGACCAACAGCACCATGGACCAACAGCACCATGGACCAACAGCACCATGGACCAACAGCACCATGGACCAACAGCACCATGGACCAACAACACCATGGACCAACAGCACCATGGACCAACAGCACCATGGACCAACAGCACCATGGACCAACAGCACCATGGACCAACAGCACCATGGACCAACAGCACCATGGACCAGTAGCTCCATGGACCAGTAGCACCATGGACCAACAGCACCATGGACCAGTAGCACCATGGACCAACAGCACCATGGCCCAGTAGCACCATGGACCAACAGCACCATGGACTAACAGCACCATGGACCAACAACACCATGGACCAACAGCACCATGGACCAACAGCACCATGGACCAGTAGCACCATGGACCAACAGCACCATGGACCAACAGCACCATGGACCAACAGCACCATGGACCAACAGCACCATGGACCAGTAGCTCCATGGACCAGTAGCACCATGGACCAACAGCACCATGGACTAACAGCACCATGGACCAACAGCACCATGGACCAACAGCACCATGGACCAGTAGCACCATGGACCAACAGCACCATGGACCAACAGCACCATGGACCAACAGCACCATGGACCAACAGCACCATGGACCAACAACACCATGGACCAACAGCACCATGGACCAACAGCACCATGGACCAACAGCACCATGGACCAACAGCACCATGGACCAACAGCACCATGGACCAACAGCACCATGGACCAACAGCACCATGGACCAACAGCACCATGGACCAGTAGCACCATGGACCAACAGCACCATGGACCAACAGCACCATGGACCAACAGCACCATGGACCAACAGCACCATGGACCAGCAGCACCATGGACCAACAGCACCATGGACCAGCAGCACCATGGACCAGTAGCACCATGGACCAGCAGCACCATGGACCAACAGCACCATGGACCCTCGACGTTCAACACACATAGACATCCATTTTCTTTGATAGCAACTCCATTTTCTCTCACAAAATCGATGGCGGTGGCTTTAAAGGACAGGAAAAAAGATCAGGTTGAGAGGAGTGCGCTCACGACTTTTTCCTCCAAAACTCGCCCGCTTTGGCTAGTTTGTTCTAGCCACCCTGGCCCCGAACCAGCACCGACCGAAACACTGAAACACGAGTGGTTGGCGGAGGAATGTAATGGGAAGATTTCATCAGCTACGAGGAAAAATATAAACACGAGGGGTGACTAGCATAGACATTCATCTTGCTGATGTGTAATTAATGCTTTAGTCTGCCGGCCGCCGGGAAGAGGGGGGACTAATGGCTGACTGGAAACATAAAAAAAACACTGTTGCCAAGCGGGGGGAGGGAGGGGGATGATGTTGGGGTTTTCGGGGGGTGATGGGGGGGGGTTAGGGGACGGGGTGTTTAGCGATTTATCGAAACTCTTTGTGGGAAATATATTCATTATAGATACATGGACATATAGCATCAATTATACGCCTCCGGGACGGCTAGGAGGCGGTTACATCAGCAGTAGTGGGCGCCGGGTCGAGTAGGACCGCGTACCATCGTGCTCATGGATAACACGTTATAAAATGCGGGTTGTAATTTAGAGTGAAAAATGGCGGTGTCAACCCCCGCCTGCGCCCCCCCTCCCCCTCCCTCCCCCCGTTCGTGTCGGGTCTGTGCGGTAAAACCGGATATTGTCACTGTTTAAAACCCGGATCCTGCCGCGCTGAAATTCAAGGCGAAAACTTTGGGAATCAGCAGAAAACTTTGAGGCATTCACCAAGCGTGAGAGTGTAGTGAGGGGGTTAGAGGTAGTGTGAGGGAGCAGTGAGAGGGTTAGAGGTAGTGTGAGGGAGCAGTGACAGTGTCCGAGGTAGTGTGAGGGAGCAGTGAGGGGGGTTAGAGGTAGTGTGAGGGAGCAGTGACAGTGTCCGAGGTAGTGTGAGGGGGCGGAAGTCACGCTCCCAGCCGGGGCTTGCCACAGTGCTCCAATATTTCATCTGGAAGAGCCTGTATAGCATTCCCGCCTTGCATGTGACTCTCCCTCCCCACCTCTCTCCCTCCCTCCCCACTCTCTCTCCCTCTCTCTCTTCCTCTCTCTGTCTGTCTCTCTCTCTCTGTCTCTCTCCTCTCTCTCTCTCTCTCTCTCTCTCTCTCTCTCTCTCTCTCTCTCTCTCTCTCTCTCTCTCTCTCTCTCTCTCTCTGGTGGGCACTTAAGAAAACGACATGACTCCTGTTAGCATGCTTACAGTTTTACCTGGCCATGGTTCGAACCCTATCTAAATACCTGGCGAGGCGAGAGGGTGGTCGTGTACAACACAGCTGACCCACGCGGGAGGGATTAACTGACTGACTGAGTGACTGGCAGCCACTAACCGACAGTTACACACGCACACAGACGCTGCTAAGCTAGGTGAGTGGACCTAACTGGCGACACTACACCAGGGGCACACATCACCAGGATAACGAGGCCACCATATGCCACGATAGCAAAGGTCCGGTTATCCTTCAGCGCCTAACATAATAGAAGTAAGATCCCTCGATTGTTTCAAGGGTAGGTTATCTTGAGATGATTTCGGTTTTTTTTTTTATGTCCCCGAGGCCCGGTCCTCGACCAGGCCTCCACCCCCAGGAAGCAGCCCGTGACAGCTGACTAGCACCCAGGTACCTATTTTACTGCTTTTAGACATATATATATATGTCTAGTTAGACATATATATGAATGAGATTGGGTGGATATAAATATTGGAGCTGCCTCGTATGGGCCAATAGGTCTTTTGCAGTTACCTTTATTCTTATGTTCTTAACTTGGAGGAAGATCCCTTCCGAGCGCCGATTGTATCGTTTCTGAGACGTATTACTCAGTATGCTGTCCCGGCATGGAACCCCCTTACCTAAATAAACAATACAAAACTTTAAATAGTCCAGAAATATGCATCAAGGCTCGTTCCGGAACTAAGGGTCCTGAGCTACGAAGAATGACTGAATGAACTCACTCAGTACACTAGAGGAAAGAAGAAACATTGGGGGTAGAAATAGCCTAAGCTACTCTATCCCTTTGAGATGTTATTCTTTCTTGTCTCAATAAACATACTTGAACTTGAAGAAGAAACAAGGCAGACATGATAACGACATACACAATACTAAGGAGGGGGGGGGATTGACAAAGTAGATATAGAAACAATGTTCAGATTAAGGAACAGAGGAACGAGAGGATATAATTGGAAACACAAAGATGTAAAAAAGAACTTTTTCCTTCAAAAAAGTCATAAATCAATGGAACGGAGTAGACGAGGAAGCTGTGGAGGTCAATTCGATATGTTTAATTAAAATATAAAATTGAAAAAAACGAGTGAAAAAAGGGTCACTGTATTGAACTACCGATGGGGCCGGGCTGAAGAGCAGAAGCTCAACCCTGCAAGCTCAACTAGGTGAGCACACCCACTACACCCACACACAAACACACACACACACACACACACACACACACACACACACACACACACACACACACACACACACACACAACCCAGAGATACAGGTCACTAGCCAACACGCCAGCCGCCTCTACACGAACAAATTACTCTCACTGATAAGATATTCCAGAATGTTTGATGAGCGTCTGACGCTACACCTCTGCACCCCCTTTGTCTCACACTATCAATTACAGGTGAGAGAGAGAGAGAGAGAGAGAGAGAGAGAGAGAGAGAGAGAGAGAGAGAGAGAGAGAGAGAGAGAGAGAGAGAGAGAGAGAGAGAGAGAGAGAGAGAGAGAGAGAGAGAGAGAGAGAGAGAGAGAGAGAGAGAGAGAGAGAGAGAGAGAGAGAGAGAGAGAGAGAGAGAGAGAGAGAGAGAGAGAGAGAGAGAGAGAGAGAGAGAGAGAGAGAGAGAGAGAGAGAGAGAGAGAGAGAGAGAGAGAGAGAGAGAGAGAGAGAGAGAGAGAGAGAGAGAGAGAGAGAGAGGAGAGAGAGAGAGAGAGAGAGAGAGAGAGAGAGAGAGAGAGAGAGAGAGAGAGAGAGAGAGAGAGAGAGAGAGAGAGAGAGAGAGAGAGAGAGAGAGAGAGAGAGAGAGAGAGAGAGAGAGAGAGAGAGAGAGAGAGAGAGAGAGAGAGAGAGAGAGAGAGAGAGAGAGAGAGAGAGAGAGAGAGAGAGAGAGAGAGAGAGAGAGAGAGAGAGAGAGAGAGAGAGAGAGAGAGAGAGAGAGAGAGAGAGAGAGAGAGAGAGAGAGAGAGAGAGAGAGAGAGAGAGAGAGAGAGAGAGAGAGAGAGAGAGAGAGAGAGAGAGAGAGAGAGAGACACACACACACACACAAACAGATTGACGTGAACATGGGGGATGAGGAAAGTGATGAGTTACAGGTGGTGGTTCATAATGGTGACTACATATTGGTGGAGGCGTGTCAGCCGCCTTGACACGTCCCCCGGAGAGTTCTTGCCACCATTACACTCACACACTTGTGTCACTTGTGCTCGACTCCATATCATCCCCCAAGAAAGCTTTATGTAACTCTAGGATAATATATCTCATTCAATATTCTCAATTCATAAACATTGTTGCCCGCCCAAGTTACGTGACTTATTCTCCTCCATCGCTACTCCCACGGTTCCCGCTCTCTGCAACAATCATGCAGTTTTTCCACACAATTGTGTTTATTACTAATATAGTATTAGAAACTACAGTGTAGTTTTGTTTTCCATCTTAAAGAAATGTTGCGGATATAGCTACTAGTCTACAGCTTCCCTGTCACTTATAACCTCCACTACTTCATCAGTTGGTGGAGTTATCTTTGGGACAATAGAGAATAAACTATTGTTTTGATTAATATTAAATCGTTACTGAATGGGTAACTTTGATAAGTTGACAAGACAAAAATACTTGAAGGTTCAACCGCCACTACGACGCACCAGTCGCTATAAACATTCACTAAAATAATGTCCTCCTACCAGAACTGCATCCCACCGCTGCCACCAATCACCAAAAGATTAATGAAGCAACTTCAAGCGGCAAGGAGTTGAATCAACTGGAGCCTGGCTTCAGCCCGGGCTTACAGAGTAGAAGAACTCGCGAAACCCTCTCCAGGTATACTCCAGGCATGCTCCAGGCACATATGTTCTTCTCTTATAATGACTTCAATGTGTTAACTCCAATCACGTCTTTTCCACTTAAGACATTCACTATCAAAAATTTTCATGGGATATTATCACACATTTGCACACAAAATTTGATTCAAACACCTCCGAGTGAGGTAGAGAAGATGAAGGAGCTTGAGGCAGATATGGAATCACTT